ACACACACACACACACACACACACACACACACACACACACACACACAGATTGACATAAAGGGAACAACAACATGACAGCTGTAGGGTAAGATCTCCTCCAACATCCAAGGAGGTGTTGTCTGTCCGATAGCAGTGAGCGCGTCTCCTCTCGTGTTAATCCTGGACACAGCAGTGCTGTAAGAGAAATGAGGTCAAAGGTCACGCTCACCTGCGTTGTCTCCATCTGTCCAACTGGCAGGCGGTCTACCAGCAATGGTTCACACATTTCAAACAAAAAACATGAATCAGGGAAATCAATCAGACACATTTAAAGCAATTAAAGGGATTATTTCTTATTTGGCAGCATAATAGATACATTTTGTGACATGATTGCGAATGATTGATTTGGAGATGCTGCGGGAATCTTTATTTTCTTGGCATCTTTTGTAATCTTCTAACGATATGTATTAAACAAGGATTAGATTAAACTCATACGAGCGTAATGCGCAAAAGATTTATAGATTGAGAGCCTTGACTTTCAAACTCTGCTTACTTGTCACTGGAGACATAAAATGCACTTTCTACATTTAAATGGCTCCATGTTTGTGCCATTGAACAATCCTCCATCTGTTTTTCTGATATACAGTATGTAACTTACCGTGCTCGTATTATGTTTGAATCCCTTTTCTTTACTTGGTTGTTTCAACAGTGTGAAGGTTTACAAACCAATATGATGTTGATTCAGTTAGATCCTTCTTCAGTAGCTGAATGTGTGAATCAGCTTTTGTAAAAGATGAATTATGTGCCAGCTAGAGTACCAGTGTACACCGTTTTATTAGATTCTTTTCTACATTAGTGTGTTGATTTTAATGTGTAAAGCTACTAAAATGACTAACGGATTAGGTTTAGAGGGTGAGTGTATTGAACATCTTACACTTCAACACAAAGATGACAAAAAATGAATGAATTAATAAATATCAGCTTTACACTCTGAAAAAATACTGCCTGTTTTACACCTGTATTATAAAGACTAAAAAGCTTTTATGGTTTGGTTTTGGTCTTTAAGTTTCCATCGTTAAGTTTCTATATTGGGTATTTTGGTTTAATTGTAGCAACGTTGTCTAACAGACTTCTGTTAAAGACTGACCTTTTCCAAAGGAATTACTGTCATTGCTGTCTGAAGACATTCATGTCATCCTAAATAGTGACTGACGAGTGCTTTCATGTGTAACTCTGTGTGCTCTCTCTTCTTAGACGGAGGCCATCCACCCAGACTGTGCCCTGGTGGTTCAGCACATGAAGGCTCAGGAGGACTGTAACCAGATCCTCAAACAGGAGGAGAGCAACCACTCCACCAGGACAGGTCCGTGTGTTTTCATCACGGTGTTTTACGCACTCACACACACTTACATAGTGGGGACTCTTGTCCCATCAGGTCCCCACAAGGTTTCTATCCCTCAGACTTGGCTTTAGAGGTAAGATTAGATGCTTTGGCTAAGGTTAGGGTATGGTCATGCAGTGTGGGACTCTGGTCTGGTCTTGGTCTTGATTCGATCTCGCTCTGCCGTGGTCTTTGTCATGACTTGGTCTCAGTTAAGGTGGTTTCAACTACAACACTGACGTGAGGTAGTTAAGACCGTCCCCAGTACACACTCTTATTACAAGCCCTAGTGTACGCTAAGTACTAGTTATGAACTAGTAACTTGTTCACACTCACACATGCACACACACACACACACACACACACACACACACACACACACACACACCATTTAGTTCCAATGGAATCCAAGCTACAGTCTCCTGCCGTCCTTTTTGCACACATTTTTGGTTTGCAGATGTGCTGTGCTCTCAGTCTTGTCAGATTTTGCGCATAAACTAGCTACCTTATATTTATCATCTCATCATATGATCAGAGACTTGACATTGATCAACTTACATATTACCCAGCGTTCATTGTTGCATATCTGGATATGACAAAAATACCCAAGAAAATGTAATTAAATGTTTTTTTTTAACAAAATTATATGCTTATTCTACATAAACTATAAATAGATTGCTACTGACGATTTTACCCCCAAATATTAAAACCATGGTGGAGATGAGTTGGCCTTTTCAACAGAACACATTCCAGCGCCCACTCTTTCCTTTCCGCTCAGGTCTGTATTCACACCCTTGGAGGCTCCTCATTAAAGCAAAGGATGTTCATTTTTTATATTAAAAAACAGGAGAAATTTTGAATTACCAACATAAAAACCTGAATCACCTTCTTAAAAAGGCACCATGTGCAGGTTTTTAATAACGGATGCATACCATTTTCTTCACCTTTTCTTTCACCTTGATAATACATCATTTGATTCTTATTGAACATTTGAGTGGAATTAAGTATGGTGTAGAAGAGATTGATGCACTTATATCTTCACTTTCTGTTACCAGAGGCCTTTTTTGGGTTGTTGCTGTAATGTTAGGGCTTTGCTTCCCATTCAACAGTATATGGTCAACAGTCCCTTCTTGCTGCGGGAAAGGTAACTGCCTTTTGGATGAGTGGAGAAATTACATTGTGTTGCAAATCAACTCCAACTTGGAATTCTTTGGTGAGAACATGAGGAGCCTTGCGTTTTTACAAACTATTTATGCAGTAAGAAATAGCCATGACAGTGACACAAAAACAAATGGAGGTGATAAAGATGTTGAGGTGAGGACGGATTTGTGCAGTCTGCGTAGTACAGTGCATCATGTAAGGCTCTTAGGAGTAAACACAGCTGGCTGCTGGATGCCTTTCTTTTAGCTGATGATTGCGTCTCTTTAATCAAGAGTATAGTGAGGGCATTTGCTTCCAGTTTAACCGACCTTGATTTGGCAGAGCAGCCAAAACAATCAAGGGATCTAATCAGGTGTGGAGATGCCTGGATTAAAGGCACTGATTGGTCAACCTGGCCTGGCCCTCTTTCATCTGTGCAGCTCAAGTAGGAGGTGAGCCAACTGAATCAGAGGAGATTCATCCATTATTCTCTCTTCAATGCCTCAGTAAAAGACAAACAACAAACTCAGCCACAGGAACAGCTTGTCCTTCACGAGGGACCGTGTTTAATTTTCAATCCGAGCTGCCGTCTGAAAGCAGGTCGATTACACCTGAAATATGAATTCTCTTTGTTCTAAAGTGTTTTCGAGTGACGAGACGGTCATTCTAGGCAGGCAAGCTTCGCTCTCGCCTCGCTCCGTCTCCCAACTTTGAAAAGGTTGTTGTGAAAGCTACACGCTCGGTGAGGCAGTCGTCTGCTCGCCCAGTGGGACTTACTGTGCATGACACAGCTGGTGTCGCTAAGAATTAATTACATTATTTCTCACCCTTTCCTGTGATCATTCACAGCAAAGATGTGACAATTAGCATTTGAAGCGGCAGATATAAGACGCTTCAAATCAGGTATAAGTCAGGAATGAACACTGACTTAACTGAAGCACCGCTTCACTTCTCAAGTCGGCTCGAACAAAGATCCGGTCAGGAGGTGGAAACAGTCAAGCTGCCCCCGAAAAGGCTTGGCTCTTTTGAGGGAGCTCAGACAAAATCTGAGCAGCCAAAAAGTTCTGCTGGGAGATATAATCACTATTATTAAACGCATACATGAACATTGAACCTTTATTAAATCAACAGTGACACACATTTTGCTCATCTTGACAAGGATGTGGTGATGGATGGAGCTGCAGCAACTCTATTTCTATGGTCGGCGCTGTACAGCTGCATCAAAAGGAAAGAATAAGGCACAATTTGCAGGATTACAGCATCAGAGTGGATAGTGCTAACGAATAAACAAGAGACAAAAGTAGAAAAACAAGATCAAAACAAGTTTAAGAAATAGGTAATCACACAGTAAAGGTATAATAAATCAGTAGAAAAACTTAATAAAAACAACTAAAATATCATATAATCGGACTGAATGGTTGAATTCCATTTCAATTGGACATCAGCAGCCAAGCACATGAAGAAGGAGCCACTGATAGCAAAGCATGAGCGAAGCCGGCAAAAGTGCCAGCAGGATTTTATTTTGAAGCCGCCCGTCTGCTTGTAGACCTTTAGCTAAAGGTCTTTAGGTCAAACATGCCACAGCAATATTTATTCAGCAACTGTCCGGCAATGAACTGCGACAAATATTAAAGGAGGTGCCCTCCTAATCATCAAACCCAATATGAAACTCATCAATACAAGACAATATTCCAACAATAAGTCAGGACAAAGCTATGTGAACACAACATGCCTCGGCAACATTAATTCAGCACCACATGTCAATGGACAGCGACCAATAATAAACCGAGTGCCCTCCTAACCAGTACGCAGAATAGGAAATGAATAGTTTGAAGCTTCATTCATACTGTTGACTTTTGAATTTTAAATGAACATTTGAAGGAACACAGTTTTTGCTTCTTTTTTTGCACGTTTTTTTCTGTTCTTATTTTGCATAGGTACATACATACACATTTTGACTGAACAACACGGGTGTAAACAACATTTATTATGGCCAGCATGCACACCTGAATGTAACGAAGCCATGGATAATGTAATTCTTTCCACCTGTGTTTGGCAATCAACAGGACCACCATGAGAGTTGCCTGATCTCTACCAAATGTGAGAAACTCATTTTAATATATTTTAGATGCTATATGATGGTTTTAGAGAATTTACTCAACTCATAAAAGAGCATCTGCCCCCGGAAATGTCAAGGTCATAAGGAAGCAGATTATTGAGAAATGTTCATTCAAGAACAAATCACTGTTTAAATGGGCAGAAGCAAGGTGGTCTGATATTGTAAATTGATAGCTAAGGGAGAGAATAAGATTATCAGGACTCCTAGAGTCATTGTTTTCCTGCACATCTCAAAAAACTTCATAACTTTTACTGTTAAGAAATTAAGGACCTCGGTGTTACAGTTGCCTTGCAGTGGTTTAATTAATTGCATTTAATCAACTTTAGTGAAGTAAATATTATTTACTGTTAACAGTTATGTGCACATATAAAGCCTAATAATAACAGCGACTTCATACAGAGATTCTGGTTGCCACTCGCTGACATTTTTGGGGCCCCAACCCTGTTTGTTCACACAAATATCAATTTGAGAGCATGAATGTAATTTACTAATACAAATTATCTCAGTTAGGGACCAAATTTGAGATGTGGATGTTGATTAACTGGTCAAAATCTACCAAGCCATTTCACCTGTAAGCATGAAAATCCCAAATAATTGAGTTTTCTTTCCATAGGCATAACGGATGCTGCTAGTACCTCAAAGCACGAAAAAAGTGAGAAGTTGTTGGTTTGAATATGAAGCCAAAGAAGTGTGTTTAGGGTACAGGATTCACCTGCAAATCCATTCAGACTAATTCATCAGGATTCATCAAGACTGAACGAACCCATCAGATGTGACTAAATGTGGAACGAACAGATGGGTGGAATGAAAAGAGAAGAGTGCAAAGGGCGATACGGCTCATGAAAGAGTGATTGGAAAATGACGAGGCTCTGTGAGGCCAGTGTTACAAGAGGCTGCACATTTTGCGGGTGTTAGTGTGGTTCGTTATATTTGCCAGTAATGGATAAAAAAGTACAAACACCAAAACAGGTGAAATCACACTCTCAAATTCACCTTGTTCCCTTTTTCTCTTTCTTGAGCAGTCAACAACTGTCCACTAGAGACAGAGAGAGGGCAGATGTCTTGTCTTACTTTGGATTAATTACCTTCATGCCTCCAGTCCCACAGGAGACTCTATCAGGGCAGAAACAAGGGAAGTCAGTGACAGAGAAGCAATAAGGAAGTAACGCAGGAGTGAACAGTGAGAGGGGATTAACAGTCTTGTCCATTTTCAAAGGATACTTGCAATTAGACCCACAGTAAGCAAGAGCCAGCCTCATGAATTTAAGTGTGTGTGTGTGTGTGTGTGTGTGTGCACGGGTCTTTTTCCACATAGCTTTCATGTTCCAGTGTTGACATTTCCACAGATCATTACACACCGTGGCGGTCCTGCCCTCTCTGTCTCTTTGCGATCACTCGCAATTGTCATTTTCATAACTAATTACACGGACCAAATACCAGAGGTGGGAAATAACAAAGTACATTTGATTGCAGAAATGATAGGGCTTCAAACACATCAACGTTAATCCGCAGTGATATTGATGATGGATTCATCGTTTATCAAGTCGAAATGCTACATGTTTGAAGGTTCGAGCTTCTCAAATGTGAAGAGTTGTTGCTTTTCTGTTTCATGTGACTAACGCAGTGCCCGGTCAAAACACGCTGGTTCTGAACTGACCGATTGCTTGACCTCCGGTAACTTCAAGCTTCACACTGCACTTCCTTGGGTCCTGAGCAATACATCCAATACACATTTGTTGCTACAAGTTTTTAATTTGTTTTTTTCCAATTTTGTTTTTCCTTTATCTTAATTTCAGAGTACTGACTCTTTTTTTTCCTTTTCTTTTTTTGCAAATTTTGAGCAGTTTGTTCCGCTCAATATAAGTCAGTGTGCGTCTGGTTAGATTTGAAAGTTTGGTTCAGCCAAATTCTCTCGCCCCTCCATAACCGTGATGAAAAAGGCAGGACTCTGAGGTTTTTAATGTATGTTAAATGTGTTGGGAGAGAAACAATGAGTTGCATTGTTTCAAGCAGACCTGATTGGTGCACAAAAGCATGTGAAATCACTTTTGGAGTTCAATTCATCTCTTACCCTGTCTCATTTACAAGGAAGAAGTCGCTGTTCTCTAAAGAGAAGCCTTTCCACGCATCAAACATGATTCTTTTTAACTTTAAACTTTAAAAGGCTCTAGGAGAGAGCAATGTGCACACTGCTTAAATGTCAACATTACTTCACTCTGTCTCTCAACAGCAGCAACCAGTTACAGACAATTTGCTTGATAAATATTCTACGCAATATAGACATTGTCTATAGTTGTCTCATCTTATTAAATCAAGATTCAACATTCAGCTCTGCTTGGATAGTCAGTGTCAGGTGGTAGTGGAAGACTGTACAGTTTGGGTTTGCAAAGCGGGAGGCGGATTAGAGGACTGCTGTCTAAACAGAACATAAAACCATCTTTAGATTTCCATAATCTGTCAGGTAAACTAAACAAGCACCCTCCTGAATTCCACTCCTTCCTCCTCGTCTTCTTCTGGTTCGCCGTCTACTCCTGCTTCTCCCTTATCACGTAATATTGTTTATTAAAGGGTAGATATCGTCGTACATACATCCCAGTGGAACCTTTGCTCCTGTAATATTAGTAACAATATTACAAGAGCAGCAATGCACATGACAAATGGTTTATTGAACCATGAAAACACTACAAAGCGCAGTGTGATAGGGAGAGCTGTAGCCAGAGGAGGAATCAAATATTGAGATATGATGACCGTACAGGTGAAGAGGAAGAACAGGACATCCGCTTGGATTGACGGTCAATCTATTCTCCTTTCCGAATCTCGTCTGACCCTTGGAAATGAAAAAAAGCTCATAACTTGTTCCGAGTTTTATTATACTGTAGATCACATAAGTGTCAGAGGGGGAAATCCTTGTATAACTGCCACAAAGCAAACACGGCGAGGTTTAAAGACATACCACCCAGGCTGGATTTTACCTGCGACAGAAAGATGATCCAATGAGTCACATGTGATGGAAGCCGTGCTTCAGGTAATAAACAGACGATAATATGTACCTCTTTCTAATGCTGTCTCGTATACCAGCGACAGCCATTAGTGTGATTCACATTCTAAGCAGCTCTAACGAGGCTGCATGTGTTTGTCTCACTAAAGATGTAGGGACCGCCATAAATGTTTAGGACCTCTGCAGTAATCCAATATGTATACCAATGCAATCAATGCATCTATTTGAAAATGATCTATATAGCCTGTAAAGTTTGTCAATACCTTGGTTAGTTACTTAGTCTACATGTTCATTGTTATAGTGTTACTCCAAGGCTAGCAGTGTGGGTAATTGTATTAGAATGATGTAACTGTGTAAATAATAAACACAAAATCAACAGAGGAAGTAAAAGAAGGTTGTTTTTTCTTTTGTTTGGTGGGTTTCTAACGCGTCAAGGGGCGAGTATAATGCCGCTGTAGAAGAACTTAAGCCTGTCACACAGACCACTGATCCAAACAGGATGACTGACACCACGGAGAGGGGATTTAATGAAAGGAAGGGCGTTGTGCTCAAGATGCTTACAGTTAACAGGACTGTACAAACAGCCATAGCTAAATAGCTACTATGCATGGCAAAAATTTCAGTTCAAAGCCACATTTATCCAGCGAGATGTTTGTCCCATCGGAGAACCTCCAGCATAGCCAAAAAGCTGTGTTTTATTATGAATGAGTGGTGGTGTGTCTCTGCGCGCTGCCGTTTTAATTGACACAGGGCCAAGCAGCTTTGATGTGCGAGGCGTTGTGGCGGCAGAGAGAGAGAGACGGGCTCCTCATTACTGCTCCATCTATCTCCCTCGTTCGGCGGCTGCAGCCATGTGAGGGGAACAGCAGAGAGGAAGCGTGGGCAGAGAGGAGGGTGGAGGACGTCACCAAAGTCCCTCATTTTCCCAGACTGGGGGAAAACCCCTTGAAAGATTACACCAGACGACTGAGTTTCTATACAAATAAAATTGTTCCTAATTAGGTATGTGAATCAGTAGCTAACCTTAGCATGTACTGTAGCATTAAGAGGTGATCAAGGTCACCCACTGACTACATTTGAAGTGAGCTGCAATAAAGAGAGAGGAGAAGAAAGATCGATCCCTCTCCACAGTCAGGATTAAATCAGATATAAGACATTATGCTGCAAAATTCTCCCGCTTATCAAATCATTTTTTTCCTATAATTTGAAACAGGTAAAGATTTGGCCCTGGCAGGGAGATCATTTCCACCTTTTTCCTGAATCCACTTGCTTTATAGAGTTCCTTACAATCCAGTTTATTTTGTCTTGATTCTGGTACAGCCTCCTTCCGTATTCTTTATGGATAGACGATATAGATAATACTTAAAAATGTCTCTTTTGGAGACTATTTGAAAAAGTCCTACTGCAATAGGACATTCCTTTCACCTGTGTTAAGAAAACAAGGTTTTAGTCGACAGAGATTTGTTGCAGTTCCAACACAAAATGTCACGTAATAATTTAACTTCATCAACACAAGAAATAATTAAGTTACCTCTCCTCTTTCCAAAAAAATCGATCAATCTGCCATCTATAGAGCCTAAATGCGTCTGACCATATTTAATACAGCACAGTCTCTTTGACGTTGTCCTCCTCAACTGTGAGCTCATCACTCAAACTAACTGGCGAAGTGATGAATATGTGATAAATGTTGTCTTCTCGTCTCAGGTTGTCCTGCAGCGTGGGATGAGATCCGTTGCTGGTATCGTGCTGAGGTGGGACAGCTGGTCAGTGTCTCGTGCGCCAATATCTCCCAGCTGTTTGCTAACAACCAAGGTAAATATCTTCAACTCACCTTTTACATATCTGGGTGACATTTGGCGGCACATTCAGCCACCTAGACTCGAGCGCTGATGTGGGAGCGTTTTTCCTCTGAAGCGGTGTGCGAGTGGAGAATCAGAGTACGCAGTCGTGTGGTGTGAACTAAGCATTACAAGTCTCCATGGGGCCCTCCAAAGAAATTAAAATCCTTTTTGTCTTTGACAATACATCTTTTATTGTATTATAGCGTTCCAAAAACAACAGACAAACATTTTGACATCATAAAAAATATATATTTGGTTTTATATCAAATTTTGTGATTTTTTTGCCTGTATATTGCTGGTTATTTTATGCTTCGAGGAATTCTTACTACATTGAAATATTTTTTGCCATCGACCATTGCAACTTGTGATTGTATGTTTAGTATTTTTTATTTTTTTATGGGGGGGGGGAGAAATGTTCATATTAACCCTGTTTGAGGTGCTGTAGAGAAATGATTGATAATACTGCCAATAGTCAAATCATTTTTTATCCTCCTGCTTGTGTCTCAGCTGTGTTTATATTTCAATGATGTTGTCAGTCAATAATCTGTCTTAAAAGGCCATGTTGACTTTGGGGTTTGTATTTGCTCAGTTGATTTATATTTTTAAAAAAAAGCCAAAGGCAGATTTAACTTTTCCAGTATAATGACCTTGAGGTCAGTTCATCCATCTTTCAGTTTACAGCTCAGCAAAGCGAGCAGGTTATATTTAGATATCTCTTAGGACCGGTTTTACGCTCTCACTGAGTGATTTATTGAGGCTGGACATTTTTCTACACGGATCACATGGTCTCATCTTCTGTGTCTAAACTCATGGCTGCAAAGTATGCTACTCTCCTCACTGTTTACACAACCCCCCCACCGTCCCCAGACCCCGGTCTCATCCAGCTGGCTGGTCTAAAGAAAACAAGATACGCTCAGAATCTCTCATGTACTATCAAACGGTTAACAGAGAGATACAGATGCAACTGAGATGGTAGAAACATTCTGGACATTTGGGAGACGAACGATGACTGAAAAGTCCGACCCAGTGACAATATATAGGAGTGGAGTAAAACTTAATTCATCAAGTCAAGAGTACATTTATAGATAGCCTGACCACCTGCAGAACTGCAGACTCGATCTGGCAAGTCACTAAAATGTTGGTATACGTATCAGTAAAATGTTCAATGGCGTTGCATTTAATTTGTTTTACGCCAACATATTTGATCAAGAAGACTACATTATTATTCAGCTTTTTATGCTTGTGTTTAGGCTCTCACACTAGATGTTTAAGGTGAATGGATGAATGAGTTTAATCAGGTGGCAACCTAGTGAAACCAATGCACAAGTGCCTCAAACTTGGATTTTTTTCTAATGGCCATTAGGGGCCAATTCTCTGGTTGCAAATAGAAGTCTGATTGTATAGAAGTCTATTAGGAAATTACTCTACTTCTTACTTGATTTATTACCTCAGTAAAGATTGTAAACATGAGTTTATATGGTCTCAATCGCTAGTTTCAACTTTCTGTACTCCCATACATATATTATATGTACTTTTACGGTAAAGCACCCTGATAAAGTCCCTGCGTTGAAACACAGTGGTTGAAGTCCAGACTCTTCCAACATGTGAGTGAGTGTTGGTAAATTATTTTTTACAGAAGAGTCAGCAGCGGCGGAGAGTATGGGCAGCATTGACAGTATGTGGGATGCTGGATGTAGAAATGACAGATTTCCAGCAGCAGTGAGAATGAAAGACAGCGCAAAGTAGCGAAGAAGAAAACACTCACAGCAGTGAAAGTTAAGCGTATACTTCAGGAGGATCGGGAGGCGGAGGTTGCTGTTGATGACCTCATAACTCAGTTTGAGTGGGTTCCTGGACCCCACTGGATTTCCTCCTCCACAGACGCCCGGATAAGTCAAGCGCTCTAGCGGTGCGGTTGGATGCAGCCTATCCAAGGGGAGGCTGCATGCGGAGAAAATAGTGAATTGGAAAATCAAATAGTTCACTGTAAGAGCCAAGAGCATGAGGAAGGAATTGGCGCTGCTTGTTAAGCAAGGCGGTAGGAGCACCAGCGCCTTGACCTCCATTCACATCCAACCATTCACCCACTGAGGCTGCGGCTGCAGGCCTGCAGGCTCTACGCGCCACGATATACTGAGGCTAATGCAGCTGGATATCGGTAACACCACCCACGACTCAAACCCCCACACTCTGCTCGGCTGTGCTGAGCAGCCGGACAGGCATAATTCACATCGTGAAGCTGAAAACTGTTATTTCACTGTCAACTTTTCATCCTCCGTCTTGTGGACACGGATTCACGCGGAAAACCTGATGACCTTGTGTGCGTCATGACCGCCGTGGAGCCCGGTGAGCGGAGTGAGCGCCGTCATTCTAACTTCAGGCCATGGTGGGAGAACATGGCTGCAAATGTGCCTCATTCAAATTCAACATTTTGTCAGTGTTACCTGGAGCTTTTTGGAAGGTGAACAAAGTAAATGTCTCAAGTTTCATATTTCTGTTATATACTTCTCGACACACAGGGAAGGTAATCGCCTCATTGACTCAGCATTGAGATAAGTTCTGTGAAGGATGAAGAAAATATGCACTTATATCTACTCGACTCAGCATGCTACAAGTTTAGCATGGCGGCTAGCTTTCCAGGTGCACCATTGCATGTTACATATGCCCAAGTTTTGCAGTAATGCAACCTGACTGTTACACTTATAAAGTGCATTCCAACAAAATACGATTGCCAATATGTCCATACAGAGAATTTACTGATGTCAAGAGAAGATTTGCAAGTATTTATCGCAAAAACCTGTGTGGTGGAAAAATGTATTTTACCCGCTGTTGAGTCTTTTTGAACTGAAATGAAGAATATCGTCAAACAGAACTTGTCTTTAAAATATTATATTGTATTCTTGCAAGAGGAGGCACAGATGTACAGAGTCACAAAGAGTCTGCAGAAGTGTGCACTACGGATTAAAATGTGTACAGAGTTATAAAGAGAGGGATCAAGGGTGGGGGCCTGTGTACTGGAACATCCTGTTTCATCCCGTGCAGGCCGTGCAGTTAAAGAAGTATAAGAAGTGCTTTATCTGTGTAACAACAGAAACACAAATACATACGTTTTATCCTTAAGGCATAGAACATGTGAACATACAATAAGTACTTGTTATCCAACACAAAGAAGAAGAGGACATGTGTGCAGGCAGTCATCTGCATGGATCACAAGTTACACGATGCAAGCTTATGATAGTCTGTCTAATGTCAGATTAGATTTTAGAGGAAATGGTGCATAGTTACAAAATCATTTGACAACAGGTTAAAAGCGGACCACCTCAAAGTGTCACTTAGAGAGAACCAGCACATTCTGATGTAGCATTTCAAAATGAAAGCCCTATAGAACAAGTTATAAAACAGTTCTATCTTATAAGAATATTAAATACACAAAATCCAAATTTCCATTTTAAACAAACAGTAAGATATATTTTCCAATTTTACCTGCCTTGGCAATGTTGGAGGAGCAGTTCGACAGCAAACAGTGGCCTTTACCTTTACCTCCTGAGGGAAGGTGTCCGTTGGCCAAATAAAATAATGGATTTGTTAAAGCGGAATCAGATACTATCCAAACTGAAAAACGTTTGTACATGCACATTGGCTAAATTGGAGCACCCCGAAGGACTGAAACTGTTCTTTAGAAAGGGTTGTTGTTTACTGTGGTTGCACAGCATTCCTCAGCTCAGCAGTAGCAGCACCAAGACAAGAACTATAAGCGTCTGTGAGACTGTGAGCGTGCAGGACATGCTGCAACACAGCTCCATGGACCAGCATGTTGGCCTAGTGGTTCCAAAGGCCACATACACAGCCCATTTACAACCAGAAACTCTATTTTTAAACTTGTTCTTTATTTGTTCTTTTCTCACATTGCCTTTTACATCAAAAAGTATTTCAACTAAGGTCTTACTTTGACAGTTTCCTTAAGGTGCTACAATACTTGTGAGGTATACCCAAACAATACGATGAATCAAAACAAAGTGAAATAATATGAACAACACTGAAAATAACCAAAGTAAATAACACAAGCATATAAAAAAAAACTAAACATGAGTTACATATAAGTTGACCTTACATATGCACACAAACAAAGGAAGTTGTCCACATTAGTCATCAAAAAATGTTCTGTTTATTTTATCTCAATTTAATCATCAATCAATTATCTATCCTCTTTAGCATGGGGGGGGGAGATCCTTTTTAAGGAGTACATCCGGTTTCATCCCAAGAATTGCTATCAGAGGGTCCATCAACAATTCAACCTGGAACACTTTGTTTACAATGGTAAACATTTATATCCAAAAGTTATCCAACGATGGGAATTTCCAAAATATAGACAAATGGCTGGCCATCGTTTGTCTAAGCTACAGTGATCAGTGTTATATTGCAGCAGAAATAACACGTTTTGGGGACATAAAATCAGGATGAAAATCTGTTTGGATGAATATTTATTTTAAAATCAAAATAAGCCACCTGTCTGTTGTATCTGAATTTCTGACTTTTGGTTGCTTAAATTGTACAGTATGTCAACATACGAGGACCTCAAAAAAAGATTCTGTATTTGACTCACACTTTTGTCCGCTCTCTTGTCCGCTCTCTTGTCTCACTGCATGAGATTGTAATAATAATTTGATTAAAGCCTCTGAATGCAACAGACCCTACTTGGTAATCTGACAGTTAAAGCACATACAGTTTATTGTGCAGTCAGCAATACTGCAACGCACGATACAGAGAGAGTCAGAGAATAGTTTATCTTAGTTTTTCAATCTTGGATCTCCAATGGTTTGTATTATTTATACACTGAGAATAAATGATACATACCTTCACATAGACTCTTTCAGACATGAGCGGAGGATGACACGGTTACGATTTACATCAATTGCATCCTGATTTATCCAACCAGATGGTGACGGTAGTTGACCCTTTTTCTTACTTTCTGGGCTTTTACTTTACCGGCTCCCAAGACCTCCCCTCTGTCTGCTGAATGGCAGAATAGCGTTTTAGTGTGTTTTTAGTGTTCAAGTGCTTGTCGTGTGTCCTCTTCATAGGAGGTGCGTCTCCCGCCGCTCCCATCATTAACAGGCAAATGGAGTTATGGTGCGGCCCATTGAATCCTAATGAAGAGCAGTGCCTACCAAATACTAGAACGTCTGTGCTCATGTGTATACATGTGATTATAGCTGCGTATGAAGAGAGAGAGGAAGTATAAGACTGAAGGGTGTTTTTGTTCTTATTATTCATCAGTAGTATTATTATTCATCAGTGTCCCAGCAAAACTAATAGACTTCATCAGGAAAGCTGCATATTCATGAATCCAAACAACAAATGGAACATTTATCAGCCATCATATTACCCTATTTGCATGTTGTTTGTGACACTGTGGAGCAGACAATGTGTCTGCTGTCTCTTGTTGATAACACATTAAACCCGACTCTGCAGCATGTAGGATTAAATTGAATGCATTTTTGATATATTGTGTGCCCATAGTAACCTGCACATAACCGTAGGTCCTGCGACTAAAGTCCGTTTGCAATCCTCCAGTCTAGACTTAAAAACGAAAGGACATTGTGCATTTACTGTCAGTGCCCCCAGAACAGCTTTCCTGTTGAAATCCATCTTGCTGCATTAGTGACATTAAATCTCTAAAAACTTCATTAATTTTCTCTTCTGTGGTCTGTCTGTGGCCTGTTTAAGTTCTTTGTTTCCAAATTATTTCTTTTATTGTACTGTTAATAAAACTGTTGACACAAATTTGGACAGCACACTATTGTCTAAAGTATGTTTTTGTGCTGTAGAGAACATTTATATTGACTGGAACTCGTGTTGTTTTTTCATTTCCAGATCTTGGTTACATAAATGGTCTGTTGTGTTGAGTGGATTTTAGCACCCAAAAGCAGAACTCATCCAGGGGTTTGCAAATGTTCACAAGCAGCTTTATTCTGAGAAACGTGTGGTGATAGTTGATGCGGTGGAGAGGGCAGGCATGATAGAGAGAGGAGAATGGACCTGAGGCATGTACAAGATTAAACAGAGTTCAGGCAAACACTAGGATTAGACTGACTGAAACTAACTGGCCGCAGAGTCTGCAACACGTTGACAAACTGAATCTGAATCTGATCCGGCAAAGACAGACTGGACTGTAGAGCTGGGGTAGTGAACTACAGGAGCTTGATGAGTGGATGGGTCACAGGTGTGCAGGTGGATTGGCAGCAGATTGAGGGCCATGCCCCCAGAAAAAAACACACGCAGACAGAGAGAACATACAGGGGACCAGACAAGAAACACAAAGATGGCGTGAACAGAAAACACTATCAATGAAGGAGAGTCACAGCCAGCCCATGACATTGTCAACACTGGCTTAAAAACCAGGGAAGACGGGAAAAATCAATATTCAATCTCTGTCTCTCCATTCACATTTCCGTGCCAATTGTCTGAAGTCTAGACTTCCCCCTCACATTGAAATATTTGTCAGTCTTTTCTCCTCCACTACCCTACCTGCCTAAGGTGACTGATAAGTGCCAAAACTCTCACTGTTCATCGTTTTTAAGATTCATATCTTCGTATTAGATTTCTCTCCCTGGTTTTTCCTCTGTCCTTGCCACTGAGAGGTTTATGTGTCTCTTCAGGTTACATCTACAGGAACTGCACCGAGGACGGATGGTCCGACCTCTACCCCTCCTACGAGGAGGCCTGCGAGTTCACAGAATACGAAGAGACAGAACCAGAGGTATGTTTCAGCCGATTATTTGTGCAGGGAAACGTTCATTCTCATTGGGATTTTTTTGTCTGTCTGATGACCATGAATAAGTTGAAGATGCTGGAGCATATTTTACATCAATTCCAGCATCTGCTGGTGGATATTTGAGGACTGTAGACTGTCTAGCACATGTTTTTCCATACCCTCTATTCTCACAAGGGACTTTAATTACTAGCCTTGCAACGGTAACCCATAATTTTGCTCATTATGACTAAATAGCAAGGCTAAATGACAGATGCTATTTCAAGCAGGCAAATTAATAGATGATTGACATGTCTCTCCTTCACTGAGGCATCAATATGAAACCTCTGAGATTGTCATCACTGGAAAAATGAGAACAAAATCTCCTGTCGTCCAGGGCATCAAATACCAACACCGACCCTTTCAAGTGACTGCAAAGTAAACCCACCCGTGTCAGTATTAGACACTCAGAGAGTGTGCAGATCACCTGTCCAACCGTGTACGTCGAATGAAAATTGACTGGAAGCCTTACAAGATGTATTGCAAAAGCGCATGTAAAGAATGAGGCATACAGTACAGACAACAGTATACAGACAAATTGGCAGTGTAGACAGCAAATTTGACAGTTGTTCACAAGCACAAGGAGTTTCTAAATGTAAGAACCGATGTCAACATCGAAACAGCACATGACATATGTCAGACTCAGCTGATTGTGGTTGTTTTAAAGACTCGGCATGAGAAGAACTTGCAGGATGTAGCCACCTTTCTTCAGTTTTGCATCCAATTAACTGGAAAAATACATTTAAGTCAAGTCAGCCTCACCGATCCTGCAGCATTGTTCATAGAAAACACAGATCAGCCGCTTAAGACAGGCTAGCTTTCATGTAAATGCCAACATTTACTGCCAACATTTTCCACCAGACAGACATTTTAAAAAGCAGTGGCAGCTCCCGACTGTCATTAGTCGACACATTAATTAAGACTGGTATGGATGAGTGGGAAGAGTGTGAGGGGGCAGTTAACGGTAAATACGTACAATGCAATTTTTTGTCTTCTCTTGCATTTCAGACAACATACTTCTCCAACTTCAAACAGGTGTACACTGCTGGCTACGCTACATCCCTCATCTCTCTTATATCGGCTATTTTTGTCTTCACCGTGTTCAGGTAACATTGGAGCTACCACAACAGCACTCATTTCAGCAAGTGCCCCAAAACGAAAGGCGTTTATATGACATGTGCTCAAGTGACAGTGCCCTCTAGCGGTTGTTGTAATTATGAAACAACATGATTAGCCCTTTATCCGAACAAGCTACTATTTCAACCCTACCCATGATCTTTCCCTGAACCAAACCGTTGTTTTTTTTGCAGAAACCTAACCAAACCTTAAGCACAGCATTGTCACATCACAAAACAGAGGGTTTTTTTCAACAGTAATTTGTAATGGTTCAGAAAAGCACAGCTAAACTAGAAACCATCTTGCGATGGGATCTCACCGGGGTGTAAAGTGGAGGGAACTTCCTCCACTTCCTACCCCCGTACTTCCTGCCTGATTGCTCAGACCACACCCATTTCTACGAACTCGGTGCCTCATTTTGATCTCAACTACACACCTGTAAAGTTTCCTGACTGCATCTCGCATCGCTCAGGAAAGTCTTTCTCTGCTCTACAGGAAGTTTCACTGCACCAGGAACTACATCCACATCAACCTGTTTTTCTCCTTCATCCTGAGAGCGAGCGCTGTCTTCATTAAAGATGGTGTTCTTTTTTCTGATGAAAACCTGGACCACTGCTTCATGTCTACTGTGAGTGTGAAACCCCACTACAGCTCCATTAGTGTGTCTATATTTACTAGTGAAGGACTCATCCTTTACAAAAAAAAACCACTGATGGTTTTGCTTGTAATGGAGGTGACAAGTCTCGTCCATCCTAGAAACATGTTGAAGCACTAAAATGCACTTGAGTCACGAAAGAAGAAGTACTGAGAGTGAAGATGAGAACTGAAAACTTTAGTGAGTGTCGTGTTTTCAGATCAGTTGAAAAACTGGTCGGAAGGACAGAAGAACTGACAGAGAAGGATGGAAACTAGGAAAGAAAACAGATTGTGAAGAAGGACATAAGGACAGACATGTGATGGAAAGATAGGTTCAAGTATAAGATGACACTACTATTTTAAGATCTCAATATATCACGTAAAGCAAAATTATGAATATGATTTTGAAAGTAAATTACCTCTGTAAGGCTACATTTTTGTTTGTTTTTTTATGGACATGATTCTCCCGAACTCAGAAGAGCTTATTACCATAGAGAGCAAGTAGGAGTGGGATTAACATGCTGGATGTGACTAAGTGGAGCCTCTGAGAGCATTAATGACAAGTGTTTCTCTTCCTATTTTACTGCTGATTAGGCAGCCTAGAGTGAAGGTAAGTGTCCCTCTTGTGTGGCTGCGAGGGACCAGCATTCGCACATCACCGTCACTCGTTTGGGTGGAAAGGGCCGTGAGAGAGAGAAGAAGATGAGGGAAACCAAACATGTTTATTTTGCGTGTCGCTCGCTGTACTACGTCACTCGCTCCGACCACATTCAACTCGTCTGTGGTTTGGCGAAACACACAATGCCTACATTATTTCCTGATGACTGGGTTAGAGGCCATTACCATCACGACCACTCCAGATAAATAAATCTACAGACTCATCTGATGCTTGTGGCTTTTGTTGTTGTTTTTTTCCCCCCACAGACGTCCTGTAAATCAGCCGTGGCCTTCTTCCAGTTCAGTATCCTGGCCAACTACTTCTGGCTGCTGGTGGAGGGCATGTACCTGCAGACGCTGCTGGCTCTCACCTTTGTCTTCCAGAAGAAATACTTCTGGTGGTACATACTCATCGGCTGGGGTGGGCGATCTTTCCCTTTCGCCTGTCTCTGTTTACCTTAATTTTCTTCCCTCGCTCCTATCTCTGTCTCTTGTTAGAGCTCTGCCTTGACTCTTTCCTAATGACCAGGTCACTCTGTTTGTGCCTCCCAGGTCTCCCAACAACTATCATAATGGCGTGGATCCTCACTAGAAACTTCTATGATAACAAGGGGTGAGCTGCTGCAGTAGAATATCAGAGAATATGTCACATAGAAATGAGGAAAGTTCAACGGGCATACTTAAGTAACCTCCCAATAAGACCCACTGACATTAAGTTATGTATCCAACAACCACAGTACCTGGTATGCATTTGGCGTTACTTAAATACGTAAGTTACGTAGCAGAGATAAGGTAAAATATGTCAATGTTTACTAGGTTTCACATCAGACACAAAATCCCCAAATTCAGCAGTAGAAAACATTTTCCTAACACCTCTAATTAGCTTATTAGCATAGCTTTTTATGTCTACTATGCCACAATCTGTGGATGATTGTGAAGAGCATGAGGCACAGTTGTTTTAACACAATACTCAGATGGGATGAACGCTGAAAAGTAAAAGCTTCTGCTGTTTCTAACACAGCCTTCTGGCTGCTGTCAGCGGGTTGTCGTGTTTTTCCGTGATTGGATGAGCAAAATTGCACTTCTGTGACTGTCTTGTTTATCGGATTTCTGTCCGTTGTGTGTCTCAGGTGCTGGGATGACACAGATGTGGCCTTCATCTGGTGGATCATAAAAGCTCCAATAACTGCATCACTACTGGTGAGTACAGAGCAGTTAGAGTGGGAGCTATTGAGGATTCATTAGAGTGCTCAATCTTGGATCAGACCTGTATGACTCTTTGACTCTGCACCGGCTACTGTAGCTTGTTATTGTGAGTCCACATTAGATGCAACAATACCAAGTCAAAGAAAGTTGATGCATTTCCTCCTTGGAAGCAGGGAAAGTTGACCAGCAGAAAGAAAAGTTTCTTATCTTTAGCAGTTAACACCAACAGCAATGTAATCAGTGCACTTCCTTGTTTACTTTCATTTTTTACGTTATTTTCATGTCTTTCTGAAATGGCTAATGCTCTTGCATCGCAGCCCTAGTGATTGCTGACCCCTCTGTCAGTCTGGGGAAAGACTTGAGGGCTGCATGCTTCCCCCAATTCACATATTGTCACCCATCAGGGACAAGCTTCAGTGGAAGGGCATAGTGCTCAGAGACTCCTGCTATTACCCCCACACTGCTCCCCCCCTCTATGCAGGTGGGCAGAATCATTACTTAGAACATCGTCATCCCTCACCGGCTTCCCACCCATGAACGCGTAAGACCAAACTGCAGGGGATTGAAGGGAGTGTTTTGCCTCTGTGCCATCAAAACAGTATTTAAAATCATAATTTTAAACACTCTTTTCAATTATGATCCTCGAGAAGTATAGTTACAATTGCCCTGGCAGTTTTTGGTAAATTTTAATAACGGTCATGAGTTCTGTGGCAAACTTCAACTATCAAAAAGCTTGATCTTATTTGGAACTTATTTAAAGTACAAAGTCAAAAGTAAGTGGAGCTATTGTGTTAAGATCTGTAGTTTTACATTCTCCATTAAGCGGCTTCATTAGTTCCACTAATTGGAAAGGGGACGCAGGCACTGATCATCAGAACTAATGGCCTCTGGGACCTGAGGTTCTACGCTATTAACACGTAGGTGGATCACATGCAATTTTGGAGCGAGAAGTTTATTATCACAAGTTTTCTTCCATAAAACTTTAACTCTTTATGTTATTCAAACTCTTTTTTTGCCCCAACGTGGAAGGGTAAATTCCCCTGTCCTGCAGTCCTTGTCACTGCAGGTATGATGTGATAACACAAACAGCAGTAGACCTCCGTTGCAGCACATATAGTGTTGTGGTTCTTTCCCATTTTTTCTTGACAGCTCTTTGACGTTTGTTTCACGTAGGTGAACTTCATCATCTTCATCAATGTGATCCGCATTCTGGTGCAGAAGCTGAGATCGCCTGGTGTCGGTGGCAATGACACCAGTCACTTCAAGTGAGAAGAGAACACGTATTCCTTCACATGATGACATGCTCAAACATTCTGTATGTAGGCATCAAGGGTCTTTTTTTTTTTTCACAATGTGTGCAGGCGGCTGGCCAAATCCACTCTGCTCCTCATCCCTCTGTTTGGGATGCACTACATGGTGTTTGCCTTTCTGCCAGAAAACACAGGAGCAGAGGCCCGAATATTCATCGAGCTCGGCCTGGGATCCTTTCAAGTAAAACACACAAGACCGATACAATTAAAGTTAATAGAATATGTAGATTCAAGCGTTACTTAGTATTATTTTCCAACCTGGACCCTATTCACCTATATTTTTGTGTCCAAGTAACTAATGGGGACAACACATTTTCATATTGGTGATGGTGTACACTGCAGGTGGCAGACGCTAAACAGGCTGCAATGATATCATCATCGGGCAATTGACAGCCTCAGATTGTTGATCGGGCAAAAGGTAACAAAAAAGTTGCATTTCTCTGTAGGGTCCTTTCCATAATGTTGTCAGACACCTATAATAACAACCTGAGCATTTCAATGGCAAAAACAGGCACTTTGGGTGGATGTGAATTGATGGTGAGGAACTGCCCCGAACTAATACATTGCAACCCATTGTTCAATACTGGACCACTTTCAAAAAATGTTATCCTCATTACTCACCCACATAAAAACCTGGTAAAATAGGGTCCAGGTTAAAAAATACCAAAGTTCCCCTTTAAACAACTCTTGTAATCCAAAATTGGTACATTAAATACATAACATTCCCGTTTTTTCCCCCAACCCAGTGTCAGACAGGCTTGCTCAGGATGTATACTACATTTTCAATATTTAATATCTGACAGTTTTGGATAATATATTTCTGCTCTGAAGGGATTCGTTGTGGCTCTGCTCTACTGTTTTCTAAATGGCGAGGTAAGTTAATATTATTCTATATTTGTTGGTTAATTTGCTACTTGAATTCTAGTTCATATTTGTTGACAGTTAAAGGACCATACAAGTGGATTTACATGTCTTAATCAACCACAAGTTGTCCCTATTTTACATTTTGTTAATTATTACCCAAAGCATATTGTAGTTTCTAGATTCATTTACAAGCTCTGGACAACTATTTCTAGAGACATTGTGCCTGACTTTCAGTGGCGATTTTGGTATGAAAAGTCTGGTGGGGCCACACAATATTCATACAAGAAAATGCAATGATGCAATCCAAACGTACCATAGATATATCACATTGAAACATACTCTAACAACCGATAAACTGTGCGCGAGTGAGAGAGGGGCGACGCTGCGACCGCTGTGACCAACAGCAGTGATGATGAAATTCCAGCCAAATAATGCCATCTAGAATCACACAATGAAGATCTGACGACATATTTGACCATACCGAAATGTAGGACCTCTGATCTCTGATCTCTGGACATCAAATAGCCTACTCGTGACACAAACAACACCAACATGAAGACAATAGAAACGCAAAGCAAAACGCATGCAGTGAACGGCGCACTGGAAATACATTTTAGTCAATACTTGAAGAATCTTTTTACAACTTTTGAGTCACCGATGGACTTCACTTCTTGAAGAGGAATGAGGCTGTCCTTCATGTGTGCAAACCTCTCTATGACCTTGCTGTTAAAATCAAACCGTCCATGGAGGAGTTACTTTCAATAGATAGCGTAACCTCTGCTGTCCCATTTTATTCCGTGTAAATGTCTTTATTCTTTCCAGAGTGGAGAAGTTTCTCTCGGATTCAGCGCTGGTCATTTGTGTTGTGACGATGATTTTAAAAAGTGTCAAGGTTTCAGACGAGGCCTCCTGGAGGCTGATCGCATGAATGGACTTCAATAGAGAAAGTCAGGTGTTGCCTTTGCTCAGTTCACTGAGCTGGTAGAGGGAGCTCAACTCGGGTTTCAGTTTCGCCTTATTTGTTAATGGCCGTAGTTTCACAGCACATTCTGGTTCAGTCTCTGGAAATGAATTCACAAACTTGGGGAAAAATGTGCAATCAATGAGTTTTGCCGCAATCAAATGGTCACTTTTGGTGAACCTCTCCTCCTCTTGACTTGACAGGGTGTCACCGGCCTCTTTCATGATTGCAGCCGTGTTGATTTTCCTCCTCTTTATTCCCTTCTGCTCCGCTGTGTTGCACAATCACATCAGCTCTTTCTCTGAGACGCCCTACTTTCTTCTTGAAGGTGTCCATCACCTGGTTGATGCCCAGCCGCATACATTTTCCGTTTTTTGCGGTACATTGTACAGAATTTCCCTGTTCTGGCATGAGCTCAGTAAAAAACTGCAGTAGCTGTAAGAACTTTGATCCCCGTAGGTGCATGGACAGACCATAGGCCTCGCTGATGGTCACCCCATCCCATCCCTCTTGTGTTGTCCAAACACTTCTTGATCTCCTCGCGGCTTTCCCACACAGCATTAACTGTTCTGCTTTTGAAATTCCTCCATGTAGCTGGAAGCTTGCTAAGCAGATTTGTTGAACTGTTAGGTTCAATTGATGCACGTAACAGGGCAAAAAGTGCACGCATGGATAGTGCTCCTTGACACGAGTCTGAACTCCACGTATGCTTCCACTCATTACCTGCAGCTCCGTCAAATGTTTGCGATATGAGCTTGTTGGTCAGGTTCAGGGGCTCAAGAGATGCCAATATGACACTTGACAGGCCAGCGGTCGTTTTGTCCTCACCTCAATAAACTGCCATAAAAGTATTATATATTTATAGAATTTTCCACTTTCACTGAGGTAAATCTTTTAACCAACATCAGTCCTGATCATAACTACCAAATATTTATGTATTTTTACAATTTAAACCCTCCAAATGCCAGTTTATGAAAATTAATGATAATTATGTAAAATAAAAAAATAACTCACCACCTAAAATATCCCTAGTTAAGGATGCTCTGAGGTTTCAGGATGGGCTGCTTAAAAGCAACCTTAATAAAAGACCTGCACACTCACACAGGTGTTCACTTTGTCTGCTTAATTAGATCTCTGAAGACAAGAGGTCTAATCAAGCAAAGCAAGTGAAAACACGTGTGTGTGTGTGTGTGTGTGTGTGTGTGTGTGTGTGTGTGTGTGTGTGTGTGTGTGTGTGTGTGTGTGTGTGTGTGCAGGGAAAATATTCCTTTTCTTAGTAAAAAGTAAAATAAATGATGATTTTCATATGTCAAGTATGGAATCAAGCTAAAAATCTATGGTATGTTTTGGAAACTCAAAAAGTATTACTGGGCTGAAATCTGCAAATCTAGCAGTGTGGTTCCTTTTCAGACGTCGAGGGGAAAAGCCCAGCGTACCTTTCAGACAAGAAAAGTATTTGAGGGGGCATTTGTTTTGTGTGTGTGTGTGTGTGCGTGTGTGTGTTCAGGTGCAGGCAGAAATGAAGAAGAGGTTTTGGAAGTGGCAGACCCAGAGTTACCTGAGCTACAGTAAACGACGGCGTACGTTGTTCACTGAGAGCAGCACGGTGACTCAGATCTCCGTCCTAGACAAATCCAGCCCCAAAGATCAGCCGGCGTCAGAGACACACACCCTTGCACCCAACAACGTGTCTGGTGTCTGAGTAGACAGTCGCTGGTATTCATGTCCTGCGTTACAACACCACAGAGCCTGATCGTTGAATGTTGCGGTACCTCTTCACTTTGTACGGAACAAATCATTTGCAGAATTGTTGATTTGTTGACTTAAGTCTAACATCCGACACACCTTTCACATTTAACTTTCCCTCATCATATGAGTTATTCTCAAGCTTACAGGCTTTAGTGTGGGCAGACAGGAAGGTCTCATTTGCTATTGCTTTTGTGTTTAACAGCTTTGGGGTTCCTCCTCCTCATCGTACTCACAACCACCAAAGAGTTTCTCCCCTTTTAGAAAAGCACCAATGTCAAGTTCACATTGAATGTGGCTTCACAACATTAGGCTTTATTTTGTCATTAGATATATAAAATAAAAATAAAATCGAACTTATATTCTAAGTAATAATTATAATTAGTTTATTCTGTCACAGCACCATGCTAAGCCATTCATAATGGAAAGTGTGCGTCAACAAAATACCAAGTTGACCAGTTTGCATATGAGACCCCAAAGAGGACGTTGTCACAAAAAGACAACAACTAATCACTACTTCTCGATTTTGCAGACCTGTGTAAAAACATGTATACTTTCACCCTAACGTTTAGTTCCATTTCATAAGCGTTTTGAGGTCCATGCTGTCATTGCTCTTACTCATTCAGTGCCACCGCTCTCTTAAGCGTTGGGCAGTACAAAATAACAATTCTTAGAAAATGAATCTTCCTCTGTTTGATGGAACGTGCCCATATTACCATCAGTGGCTCTGCATGCAACATGTTGCACAGTGCACTAGCGCACGTCTGGAGCACTAGACTGTAAAATCTATTTATTTGTCTGATTATTGTTTTTTATGTCTTAGTGTGAACGTTTGCATAAAGTTAATGCTCCTCCAGAAAAAAAAAATCATAAATGATAGATTAAAAAGGGATTCAAAGACTTAATTTTAAATAGATTAAATGGTATGTATATTTAACATGTTTTTTTCTGTCGTATGTGTAAGTCAGTGTTATTCTTATATACTGTAATATTGCAAAATGTGGAGAAAATTATACCGTGTATTTCCCTTTTTTGTTAGCATAGGTTACGTGGTGCAGATTCTAATGCTAACGCTAATTCAGAACCTGTTTTCTCTGAGAAATCGTTTTAGGAGACTAGTTGACGGCTCGTGATGTTTGTGTATCTATCTAATTCATATCTTTCTTCAGTGTTGTGACTTGGGAGACAGTTTACAGTACACAAACATATGGACATGTAGATATATAGTATTATTCATGGAAGGAAATATTACATTACTCAGCTACAGACTGCTACAGTGCCTTTATCATGCAGTATGACTCAATGTTTCTCTGCAGTTCAGGTGGATTAAACCTATAGTAGGTTTGCAGTCAAAATCGATGTAACAAAATCATATATTTAAGATTGTGATACTATACCATGTACTTGAATGTGCTTCAGTGTTGTGTCAGGTTCAAGATGATGAGAATTGTGCTGATATGAAAAACACAAAGCTTTCATCAAATTTTGAATTGTGCAGCGAGGACGTGAAGGATGATGAGCATGTTTCGATGTGATGTCTCTTAAAGAAAAGCTCTCCATGTCGTGTCTGGACTTCGCTTTTTAGATTACATCCTTTTGAAGTGTTCTTTCTATTTCCTTACTCGAGAAAGTGACGTGTATGTTTCTTTTACAGGTTCCGGTTTACTACATGAATGCAAGTTTCTCATTTGGCATTTTCATATTTGGACAGGACAAAGCTGCTTTTTTTTTGGGTTGTCCGTCCGTCCGGTCCATTGAATGCAATATCTCAGGAACACCTTGAAGGAATTTCTTCAAACGTGGCACAAACGTCCGCCTGGACTCAAGGATGAATTAATTATATTTTGGTGTTAAAAGATTACTGTTGGTTACTATAGGATAAAATGATGAAGTGACGATATTTTGGAGAAATTACATGATTTTCCAAAATGCAAACTGCATCATGACAGTACAACAGGCACTAATTCTAGTTCTTATTGTCAACATCCCATGAAAAGACCAAAACCAACAATGTGTCCATCTGTATTCTCCAATGCTCTCGAGCTGCCCTCCCCTGTCTGTGGCTCTCATCTACAAGCCCATTGGTTCCTAGAAGAAGCACATCTTTTAAAAACGACTCAGAAACATTTTAAACACTGCTCTTTAATTTCTAAAAACACACTGTAACAAACGTTACTCAAACATGAACAAATACTCCAATTGTTGGGGACTATTTTCAGCGGCGGTTTAATACACATTTTATTACTTTTTCTCCAACAACTCTTCCGAAAAGAGGTTAACACTGTTGCACAGGGTGACATGATTCTTCATTACCATGAGCGGTTTATTTTGACTCAATCCCAAATACACACCGTCCTGCTGCCACAAGGCAGGCTAACAAGGCTAACTGGACAGTATTAGAAGTTTGAACACATGTTTTGGCTTTGGTCTCTTCAGAGGATCTGTTTACAATAAAAAAATAAAATAAAGAATGACATCAGCCTTTTCCTTTAAGCCAAAAGACTTGGGAATATTTACCCCACACAGCAACATTGAGCCAACAAGTTAAAAACATTTATTGTCGATATTTCCATAATGTACAAAAAAACCCTTCTAATGTGCACGACAAAACGAGATCAAATGGTGCACTGTGTAGTGAAAGAGATCAAATTGAAAAAAGAAGAGCTCATGAGCAGACAGTAGGCTCGCAGTAGAGTGCTTCAAGTTACTTTTACATTCAGCCATCAGTACACAAACTGCTTTTTTTTTTTTTTTTTACCTCTAGCTGATTTAAAGAGGCAATTGGTACAATGAAGCAATACAATAAAAAAACACCATCAAAAAGCTAAAAAAAGAGTCACATTTGAAATCAACTTTCTTGTCATGCTATGCTGTAAAACTCAGTAAGAACAAAAAGGGTACAGCAATGTTTTATGGCACTTTACTTTTCCTCATGTTTGCAATGATTAACATTCAAAGGAAAAGTATTCAATGTGTCCTGACGGGACTAGAGCTACAATTCGATAAATCGTTCACAGTTGAAACCCAATATTCATGTTCTAGCTTATTCATTGCCTCGTCCCTTTCGTAAACAAGCACAAAGCTCAGATTCCCTTAATGGGCTGAAAGCTCCACCCTATACCTTGTGATTACATCTGCTGGTCAAGTGAGATCAAAACGATTTAACACGCATGCGTCAGCCTATTAGAGAGTACAGAGGCATTACAGGATTTATACTTTTAGCAAACACGATCACCATTGAGAAAAATCATTGAAAAAAGAAAAATGAAAACAATCACAGCGTTATTCACTTTGAACCACAGAAAACTCCATTTACAAGGTACAACGTTGGCAGCTTGTTTCTGTGTTAAACTGCAGTATATTTAGTCACAAAGGCTGACTACAGACCTTTAGAAGACTTCATCTAACTACTTCATAGTTCAGAGACTGTAATTAATATTTACCTTATAATAATAGCAACATCTTTGTCTGACATCAACATAGTACTGGCAATATAAGGCTCCAAACCCATATTAACACGAAAGGAAAATAATTAATAGATTTATATATATATATTTTGACAACCTCACGACCCGGTGAGGTTGTCAAAATGTCTGTAATGAGCTCAACTGAACATTGAACTGAACCAGAGTAGAGGTGGTGATTGTCCAGCCCTTTCCCCAAACATCACAAGATGAAACCGGACCCCTCCTATGGCTGCTGTTAGACCTGCATCTGTTTAGTGCAGGTCGCACTGAATACACACACACAGCAGAAGAACAATACAGTTTCCGGTCAGCCCTTCTTTTCTTTCTTTGCCTTCGCGTGGTCTGGACTTCCAGAAATAAGTCAATTTGGTAGTTTGCAGGTCAAGAGATGTGCTTTTAGAGTAAAACATAAATGTGACAGAATTTAGTTAAAAAGTGAAAGTTTTTAGAGATGTATTAGTCCTGATTTAATTAGGTATAAGCAGTCTATTTCAGTGTCTAGTAAGAATCTTTTGGACATTGCAAAATAGTGACTGAAGTGATATGAAACAACTGTTTAAACCAAATTCAACCCTGTCTTAACCTTCTGTGTGTAGTAATGTCCTGACATGTTTGTGTGAATTTGGACCTTAAACTCGTTATTTTTCAACTCCACTGTTAATCAATTATATTGTATTCAGTTACCGTATTTCAATGTCTATTGAGAACACAAGTCAGTAAATTATTGTTTATTTTGATATTTGATATTTAGAATAAAGCTGAAAACAGAGAGAACCGCTTTCTGGCTATGTGGCAAAGGTTTTGAAACAACATTTAGACCATATTGTAATAAAAATATAAGAAAACAGTTGAATGAATAATTTAGAAATATAAATGTAAATAATGCTAATTATCTGACAAATTTGGGTAATCTGATTGAAGTGTTTGTTGAAAACAATGGAAAAACCAGTGAAACTGAATACATTAAAAAAAACAAATCAAAATACTAAGTAAAAGTGAAATATTAAGATTCATGCTTTTACTTTGACAAAATAAAAAAAAACTTTTTATTTCCTACACCACCAATCAGTTGCTAAAATAAATGAATATTTGAGTAGTAGCGTAATTGTGCTCTTTAAAAACGAATTATTATCCAACATTTTGACAGTTTCGGGACTCCGTAATTGACGTCTTTTTACCTGCAAATTACCAAAAATGTATTTATTGCATGACTTCAAACATCTGATGAGAAAACCTGAACATGTAACCACAGTATTATATTGAACTTAGCAGATAGACTAACTTTCTAGTATTATTAGTCATAAATGATGTGTATCCAGAAAAGAAAGAGCAAATATGTGTTAATCAAATAATCTACTAATTGTTTGTTTTGGAGTTCTTCAGTTCCACTTTGTTTTTAAAGACATTTCAGAAATTTTGTTTTGCAAATAATCTCTCTTCTTACAATAATTAAAAATGCAGTCATATTTAGTGGAAATTAAGACTACAGCGCCTTTACAAACATGAGTATGAAATGGTCAAAAATATTTTGAAGAATATCATAAAGAAAAATTATTTTGTGGTTCAGGTACATGACACTTTTTACAGTCCAGTAATTTTCCACTGTTCTGCTGTTGATAACAATTAAGGTTGTGTCAGTAAAATAAGAAAACATATTTATTCTTTTGCGCATGTGATATACCGTACTGTACAGTGACTGAGTTAATATACTGTAGCACTGCTTTATTTGAAACACTAATCGGTCATATTATGTTTTGCTCATCTTTAGCAAAGTTAAAGTTTTGAGGGCCTCCAGGTTTACAATACTGATTTAGTCTTAAACATCATAAAAGCACTTTGTTCAATCATTTTGTTGACTTTGCAGTTTCGTTTTGAAATTAAAAAGACAAATCCCTTTTTTTTCTTCTTTTAAATCATCAACAGAAGTCAAAATGTGTGCTTAAAGGCACTTTTGGAGACACGAAGTCGAGTTGAACGTAAGGATTCAGAGGATAGTTGAGTCAGACCAAAAGAAACATCTGCAGTGACATCAGTTGCAAAGCTAACTCAGCCTTTGCAAACAGATACGGCCGTGCAAAATCCCAGGAAGGATTCGATTACTCAGTAAAAGTCCCACTCCGAAAGTATAACATTCATCTCAATGTGCTTGCTTTCAAGCATGAAGAGAGCACATGCCACCAGAGACAATAACTGCAGAAAGAGAGAAATACTGCGAGGTGGTCTGAGAGATTTGTCTGGGCCCTCATTAATCAAAATGCCAACCTTTGTTTTCAAAGGATAATTTCTTTCCAAAAACAGTGAAGTGCTGTGATGTTTCCGATGGTCTACACCTTAACTTCAACCAGTACGACGTTGAAACTTCCTGCAGGAGGCTGCTGAAGAGACTCCGCTTTACAAAGTGACAAAGAGAATCAGTATTGCAGCGCGTGGCCTCCACAACAGCCCGATAGACACTGAAAGTTCATGAAGAAAAAGGAAATAAACAACCGATTAAACACTGAATTCTCACCAAAAGAAGTAAACAAAACCACATGGGCAATAAATGCAACTTCATGCAAACAACTGAACTCGCGACGCTTTAGTCGCGAGTTCATTTTCATTGACATTTTTTGTATTAACGGCTGATTGAAACGCACTGATCTCCAAAGGCGTCTACTTCCCAGTGCTGAGATTCAAAAGAGAGGTTTGTGTTTGTGGTCGTAGTCAGCAAACTGCAGCACTGTGCACACATCCGAAGACCCTCTGAGTCATCATCTAACCCTGGTATGTTTTGTTTTTTTTCCTTTCTTTTTTTTTGGCATTTCACATAAATGTAGAAAATATGTCCATCTCCTAAACACTGCTTTTCCAAGTTCCACCTGTTAGATCTCAAGATCTAGAAATTTCTTCTCGACATTCCACTGTCTAGTTGTCTTCAACACCCATTGTTTTATATATCAGTCACAGTTCACACAGGAAACAATTGCTTGTGCCAGTAGTGGGAAATAATACTGAGCTTTCTGAATGAGTTTGGGTCTGACTTGGGGGTCCATAATGTATCAGCTGACCCGTAGCACTATCAATAACAATGATTTGATGGTGAAAAGTTCAATTTCCAACACCGATGTAAGTGTGAACTATCATTCTTTAAATTGTCGTCAACGTATTTAACAAAACTACTCATCTAAGGTATTTACTGTACATCAGGGCGATCAGATTCAGAGGCTGAGATATTATGAGTTTTAGTCCTGGGTTTGGGGCGAGCTCCACCGACACTGGACACTACATTTCCCATAATGCAGCAAACTGTATCTTTTCCAAAGACCCTGCTTGCCTGGTAAATACCCACGTCTTTCAAACACAATGCCCTCAGTTTGTAACACAGTTTTTTAGTTTAGAATGTGTGGTTTCCAAGCCCAAGCTAAAATCACCTTGATGACATCACTGTGACATCACTGGGGTTATTTTTTACATCACAGCCTAATGAATACTCAACGTGACAAGCAAACTAATCTCCATGTGCAAAATCAGTTGGAGTGCCCTTTTAAGGTATTTACATTGCCCAGTGTCTGAAGCTAGGCCTCTTCATTTCATGTCTGTATCTAAAGAGGAATCCAGTGCGTAGTTACAGTCTAAAACACATTTTGAGGAAATTCTGACACTTGAGGACAAATGTAAAAGCTTCCTCAGACAGACTGGAATGATCACCGTGAGAGGGTTGCAGTAATTAACTGGCCCCCTGTGCTGTACAGCAGCAGATAACTGCAGCACCAGATAAACAGTATATACAGTATATACAGAGAGATAACCATGCTTCTTCTGCGGCCTGACAAGACACCAGATATACACTAGAGTTCCTAACCGTGCCCTTTGAAGCTGAGAGGCTGCTCAGGAACAGGTGGACCGAGTATGTGTTCCACCCTGAACTGGGTCAGAGGTCGGGACATGACGAGATTCATCATTTGGCACCTGACATTCGGGTTCGGTCATGTTTCAGCGGGTGGGGCGGGTCAGACTGGAGGCTGTTCTGGGTCACTGGAGTTAAGTTGGGTTTCCATCATGGTTTCGTCCGGGTATGGGTTGGGGTACGGGTTGAGGAACGGGTTGGCGAGGCTGGTCATCGGGACGACGGTGGGTGTGGCGGGTCTGGTAGCGTCAGGTCCGGAAGAGGCGCCGGTGTCGCTCAGGTGGCCGGGGTCTCGGCCTGCAGGCTGGACATGCGGATCTGCGAGCTGCTCTTGCTGAGGATGGACAGCTGCGTGCCCCCGTTCACACCACTGCTCGCCAGCGAAGGATGCCGGTGCTTCAGATCCACAGCAAAGTACCTGTTCACCGTCCAGCTGCGCCATTTCCTCTTGATCTCCGATTGCACCTTGAGGGATATACTTCACAAGGTCATTATTAATGGACCTCGCTGGAAAGAGACAAGCTCACTGTCCTTCAGTCTCACTCTAGGCTCCGTCTGTGCTGTAGCTAAGGCTCAGATTTAGATTCTCACTGAAAAATGTATTTTTCTTAAAGGGAAGCGTTGGTTTAAACCAATTTTGGTTTTAAGCCCCCACACACCCAAAATCTTTTGTAGTTCATTTTGCAAAAATAATCTGAACTTTGAAAACAGCCCATATAATAGAAAGTGAAGAAATGATTATGTGCCAGATTGCTCAGAACAGTTCAACTACAAATTGCTTGACTAGCAAATTAGCAATATTTTGTTTGAAAATATAAACTGAAAATGCATTTCAAACCGCATGTATTCCATGCGGATACGCTGTAGGTCAGTAATGTTGTTATGTATGTTTAATTGAATTGTTATGTATGTTTAATTTAATTGTTATGTATGTTTAATTAAATTGTGCATCAGAAAACTGGTGTAATGGTGTCAGTAATTGTTTTAAAGGATGTTTACCTCTCCATTCAGGAAGCAGTAGAGGACGGCCACGACAAAGCCCTGAGGAGACAGAGGGTCCAAGCATGAGACAAAAACACTGACACTGTGAAAACACCTGTGTGTATGTGTGAGTGAAATTAAACACTCCTGTGAATAAAAGCAGTACGATCCATTGTTAAAGCTGTTAATTGTGTTTCTTTACTCTTTTCTTATTATTTTTGCTTTCAAGTTTCAAGTCAAGTCTAGTTTCGCAGCCTTCATTTTTGTGATGAACGCCAGAACTTTTGTCCAAATCTCAAGTTTACAGTTCTGTTCATATCCTCCATCCTTCCTTCACTAGCTGTGACAGTAAGCCAGCTTTCCCACAGTTTGTATTTGTATTTTCTAAATCCAGGCCATTGGCGGAGAAACAGTCACCTGGAAGGATCCGAGGCCGAGCTCAAACACCAGACGCTCTCTCTTGCTGACGTTCTCAGGGGAGAAGGCAAACACAGTGTAGTGGATCCCAAACAGAGGAATCAGTAGCAGAGTGGAGCGGGCCAACCTCCTGCAAAATAACACACTCACCGTTATGATGAGACTGCAGTATGTGTGTCCTCATTATAATTCGCTCACACAGGACTGACAACAGTCGGTCCCAATGAATTCAACAGCACTTTTTAGCTTAATCGTTCAGTCATAGAGGTCTAAAGATGTATCGGGATGGCATTGACATGTTGCAGGAAAGCAAACCCGGTCCCATAACATCTGTCTGGTAGTTCACACATTTATGTTTGTTTTCAACTGCATCTTTTACAAGAGTAATCATTAAGTCTCCCTACCGCTGACCATAACATACCAAACAGTTTATGATATGTATGGCAGTCCATTTACATAGTGCATACAAGCAGTAGAAAACTGCAAGTGACTCAAAACTGAAATGGCAGAAAGATTTAGCAGAAGTAATAATAGTAGCATTAGTATAGAAAAGGTGGCAAAGTATGTGTAAGGAGTAGGTTGTGGTGGATGGATGGGTCAAACTTAGAACTTAGACCAGGTTTCAAGATCCATGAAAAGCCTTTTTTTACACTTAGTTGACTTATCATTTACAGTTTTTTAAATTTTACAAAACTATCCATAAAAATATAAAAACAATAGCCTACAGTAGGCTACATATACACATACAGTATCTAATGTGTGTCCAGGTTGAGTGCAAATAGAATTGTTGGCTAAGGACACAGCTGTGTGCTAATGGCATCTGCCTTAAATAAATGCAGACATTTTGTTTATGTGCTCACGAAGTCAGCTTGAAATATTTAGTGTAAGTCTAGCTATCACAACATATCACGCTAATGTCAGGCAGAAAATGATCAAATAAAAAGTGAATGTAAAACAGACTTACAGGTAAATACTGGATTCGTTTCCACCGATATCTGGGGACTGTAACTTCTGGACAAGGATGACGATGATGCCGATGAAGAGCACAAAGTTGATCTGTAGAGGAAAAAAATGTCAATAATGAATATATCTTTGGTAATGGATGGATTGATTTGATGTCGTCACACCTGGAGCAGAGCGATGACGTACCATAATGGAAGCGAGCACAGGTCCCTTGATCACCCACCAGATGGCGGCGTTGTCATTCACGTCCCAACACCTGAGAGAGCGGGGTGATACGACAACACATTCAGCGCAGGAACAGTCCAACTTCAACAAACAGACACTGATGTCTGGTGTTCGTAACCTACCCACTATCATCAAAGTGCAGCTTCAGCACCGCCCAGATGGTCACACACACTGTGGGGGTTCCTGTTGTAAACGTGACACAAACATAAATTACGATGCGTCCACTTATCAGATGAGAACTCGGGTGTGCGTGACGTGGTTGTTGTCTCACCCCAACCAATGATGATGTACCAGTAGAAGTATCTCTTTTCAGGGAAGAAGGTCTCCACCAGCAAAGTGAAGAGATATAGACCCTCGATGAAGAGCCAGAAGTAGTTAGAGAGGACGCAGTAGTGGAAGAATATCATCACTGCTCGACACTCCAGCTTCAAAGAGGTAAAAGACAAGAAAAAAGAAAAGAAATCCACATGAATGAACAAATCCTCTGCTGCCTGTTAACATGAGATCAGACGGCGTTGGGGGGCGTGTGTGCAGGCGTGTCGGTGTTACTCACGGTGTAGATGAAGCAGTGCTCGCTGTCCTCTTTGGCGTACAGTACGCCATCTTTGATGAAGACGGAAATAGCTCTCAACATGAACGACACAAATAGGTTCATGTGGATGAAGTTCCTGGTGCAGTGCAGCTTCCTGTGAAGACAGACAGGAACACTCTGAGTGTTTTTGTTAAAGAAAAGCACCACATGCAGAAGAACAATACACTGACTTTTGTACTGTTGTAATTCATCGATACACATGCTGTTGTTCATTACAGTCACATAGCAATAGTAGTGGCAGCGGTGGTCATGGCAGAAAGTGGTAATAATTGTAGTAATAGCAGTAGTGGTAGTACTGTAGTTGCAGTTGTAGTTGTAGCAGCAGCTGCAATGACAATTCTAGCAGCAGCACTGGCAGTAATAGTAGTAGCTGGAGTCATAATAATTGCAGTAGTAGTATTAGTACTGTAGTTCTGGTAGCAGCAGCAGTATTAGTGATAGTGATAATAATTGATGTAGCGATTCCAGCTGTATTCATACGTCAGTAGTAGTGTAGTACTAACACGTAGAGGGATGAGAGTAGTAGTAAAATAATTGCAACAGTACTGGTAGTACCAATAGTAGTATTACTAGTACTAAAAGCTTCTGTATGATATCAAATGACAGGCCTACCAGAGCATCTCTATACATTTGAGCAGGACTTTATCATATGAATCAATGTGTTAACTAAAACTAGAGCAAAACAATGTTCTGTATAATACCAGTCATTGTATGTTATTAACTTTAAAACATCAAAAATACTTTGATTGCCACCCCGTAAAAAAGGGACGTGGATATCTATAAGGAAGGAAAAACTTCCACCACTTCTTCTCTACTACTTTGTCATGTGTGTCTGATGAACCTGTTGTATCCCCAGCACCACCCCTCCCAGCTGCAGTACGATCCTCAACCGCCAAACACCTCACCTGAACCTGCACAGGATGGCCATGGCCATGGTGAGGGAGACCAAAGAGGTGCTGTAGCCCACGGTGTACAGAGCCTTCACTGACACATAGTACATGTCCTAAAACACAAGCACAGCAGAGACTGAACAAAACTGAGCTGAGTGTTTTCTCGTTGACACAGCTGCAGACAGTGATGTACTAACCAGATGGCTGCTGTTCCTTTCCTCATACATGCAGGCTTCGATGTAATAAGGAAAGGTCTCTGTCCAGCCGAACTCGGTGCAGTTACGACTCACCTTCCCCAGCTCTGTGGACACAGGACACTTTATTGGATTATGGCATACACAGACTTATTTCTACAGTGAAGCATATTTGAAATAATAGGGTAAAATCACACAAAAACAGGGAGCCTAAAGAAGATGCTAAAGGTAAATGGGAAGTCCTTAGTAACTGACCGTCTTCTTCATTCATGAACTGAGAGAAGAGTTCGGGACAGTTGACTTCGACCACCTCACCAATCCTGGCAGGCTGCCAGCACGTCAAGTTGTCCCACATCCACGGACAGCCTGAGAACACAACAGGTGGACAAACACAGTTGCGCAGCAGTGAGTGTTTGATGCTTAAAAGCCATAAGTTCACTTTGGTGGGGGGAAAAAGGCCCACCTGCAGCTCATTTATCATTACTTCAAAATCACAGATCCTTGAAACTCGCATACATACGTTGGCTGAAATGTCAGCTCCCACTATGAACAAATATCTTTCTTTTTTTTAATTTATTGACATCTCCTTTTGGATGTAAACACATTCCATAATTCTATTGGTTACTCCCTGCCGGTACAGCCTGTGCATCTTTTCTATTTGTTGCTGCAGCTTTTCATTTCAAATGAAATTTTAGAAAAAGCATCTGAGAGAGAGAACGCTCAAGCCAGCAAAGGAAAGACACTATAAGAGATTGTATGCCTTTTATGTGCGATGATTGGTTATTGTAACATACAATATAGTGTTTTGGAGCTAAATCCTAAATTTTAGAAATCCATTTAGATGGGACACACTCATGGAGGTTCGCTGGTCAAAATGGCTGCATACAGTGTTGGCTTAAATCATGGCTGAGACAATCATGTGGGTTTTGCAGTAATGACTGTGCCTGCAATGCAGAAGCTAAAAGAATACGGTCTGATTCCCAAATGTATGTGACTTGGTTAACCAGCTCTGCTTTGTAGCCAATACTCCACTAACTTCAGTAGTGTGTGTAACTGCAACAAAAATCACATCTTAAAAAAGACAGCGCTAGTTTGCTGTGCTTGTATAATAACACAACCAGCCCCCAGTTTAACACACTAACAATGTCTGGTACTCTTGGGACAGTTTCATCGTGTAATCAGCCATCCTTCCATGCCCTCTTTGGGACTGGAAAAGTCAAGCTTCCTGAGATCTTTAAACTGAAAATGCAACAGTTTTTATATATAGTTTCTGCTTCAAATTGCATACAGCAGTGGATGAATCCTTTTAAACCTTGTAGGTCTCTTTTTGGAGGACCAATCCAAATCAAAAGAGACTTCTAAACAAGTTTAAGTAGGATAATTGGCACAAAGCCTCTCCCTCAGTTTGATCTTCCCTTCATCCATCATACAGAGAGACGCCTGTCACTTACTGTCTCTCTAATCAACTCTCATTTGAAGGATCATCATCATGAGATGCTGCCAATTAAAGCTTTGGCTCCTCCCTCGCTGTGGATTGAAATACATGAATGTATTTGCTTTGCCGAATGTCTCTGTTGGCCCTGCATTAGTTAGTTATGCTCAATCATCAAGTCTTTCAAATGATCTCTCTTTGCAGACAAGCAGGTCAGAGTCAAGCCACAATATGTAGAACTATCTCCCACTCATCAGTATGCCAGCCCTGAAGATGTTCTTGTTATTAATCTCTGTGTTTATCATTTTTTTGAATTTTAATTGGGCCATGTTGAAAGTTGTTACAGCATCAACAAAGTAGTTGTTAGCATGAGGGGAAGGGATTAAAGGCTACACAAACACTGCCAAAAAGCCTACCAAATTCTGGATCATTCCCAGGATCGTCCGAGGCGATCATTTCCATGCATTTCTCCTGCTCCCTCTTGATCACACAGTTAGAGGGCACCTGTTGATTCGAACCCTGAAAACAACATTAACACACACACACACACACAAAGAGAGAGAGAGAGAGAGAGAGAGAGAGAGAGAGAGAGAGAGAGAGAG